TGTGTGTGTGTGTGTGTGTGTGTGTGTGTGTGTGTGTGTGTGTGTGTGTGTGTGTGTGTGTGTGTGATCAGGCTCGGGGACTAAGAGAGAGGATCACATCTCACACTACAATACCTGGATTTGACCGTGAAGGAATGTGTGTTCAATTGTGTGTGTGTGCGCCCGACTGTAAGGTGACCCTTTCTCTGTGAGAATGCGGCCCCTTGTTTCCTCCCAGAGAGACAGAAATGTTCCATGTCACAGTCGCATGTGAGCAGCAGCCAGAATCAGTCATCTGAGGAGGGAAAAATCTGTCAAATGTTCTTACAAAAACCTGTTGAACTTCTTTCTTCTTGCAAAGCGCAAAGTTTGGATTTCATGCAAAGTGCCTGTATGTTTCCTTGGTTTATCACACCCTGCTGTAGGCAGAATAAATATGTATACACATGAAGTTAAAACTGGTCATATAGTCAAATGTTATCTTTTATCATATTTTTTAAAATACATATTCAGATTTTTCTAAAACAATTTGACTGAAATGAAGTATCTTGAACATGCATATACCTGTATGTACACTGAAAACAACTAGTTGTATGACAATGTGTCCGTCACAGTATACGACAAAACATTTTTTTACTTGCTAACAAGGCATGTGATCCTTATTATATTGCAACTATTTCTCTCCTATTTTTGGAGATTTGTTCCACTTGTTAGACAAGACATTAACATCAAATATATTCTTAAAGAGACCCTTTTATGCTTTTTGGGGGTTTTCCTTTCCTGTAGTGTGTTATATAAGTTGTGTTCATGTAAAGGGTCTGCTTGGGCTTAAACCCCGTGCTCCCTTCAGAGGGAGTTTCTCAAACCCAGTACAGCTAAAAGACAGATCAAACAAAACTAAAAGTGTGTTAAGCAAGAATAACGTGTTTTAATTTTGTGTTTCAATTTGTAACAAATAATGACATTGAAATGTCTTGTTCTACCTCTGTAGATAGTATGGTAATTAAAGAATATCTTTAGTATGAAGCTGAAACATATGTAGACACAACCTGAAATGATACTGAAGGGAAGCAATACATAACATAAACTAGCACGAGCCTGCCGTCACACTGCGGCTGATGTTAATATGCAAATGTCTCAACGTCTGTCCTGGCCTCCGCAGCAGAGAGACGGAGGTGTTCAGGAATCCGCCTCGAGACAGAAAAACCTGTTTGACTTCTTCTCCTCGCTGTTTCTGTCTTTCCCCTCCACACAGAGCTAATGGGAAAAACATGTGTATGTGTAAAGGTGTAATTACAAGACAGACGTGTTTTCAAAGAGAGGAGGCGAGATGGGCGGAGGAAGAAAACAAGAAGAGGAAACAAGGAGTTTAGAGGAGAGAAAAGATAGGGGAGAAGACAAGGAGAGATACAAGGAAACAATAGGAAGGAAACAACTAGAGAAGAAGGAGAGAGGGAAGATAACAAAGAGAGGAGACTATTGTGAAAAATAAGAGAAGATGAGAAGAAATGTGAGAAAGAAGGAAATGTAACAGGGATATGAGGACAAGAAGGAAAAAAGGGAACAGGAAATGGAAGAAAGGAAATCTAGATAGGAGGAGATGAAAGGAAAAAAAACAAGGGGAGAAGAAGGGCATGAAATGTAGAGAGGAAACGGGGGGGCATCCAAGAAAGGAGAATGAACAAAAACTCAAGAGGAGAGGAAACAAAGATGTGAGGGGAGAAAAGGGAAGGGAATAAGTAGAGGAAGAAGAGAAACATGGCAAGGAGAGAAGAAGAGAGGAGTAGGGGAAAGGAAACAAGAGGAATAAAGGGGGAGATGAAGGAAAGGACATGTAGGGAGGAGAGGAAGAGAGCGAAGGAAACCAGCATCAGACAGGTGGAGATGAGAGGAAACAAGGAGAGGGGGAGAAGAGGGGAAATGAAACGTGGAGAGAAGATTGTGGGGGAAACGTCTGTGTAGCAATGCAGTGGGAGTCACCGACTCATGAAGGAGACACGGGAAGAGCAGGAGCTTTGATGTCAAACACTGATGGTTTATTTAGGAGCTTCGGCCGGAGGATTCACATCACAAGTCCTAGAGCCAGAGGTTCTGACTTCATGGTAGAGTTGCCACGTCAAATCTGAAGAACTCTACCCCAGACCCATGTATTTAGCTAGTTCAGAGAGAATAATCAACATGCTGCATAACAAGATAGAACCATAACACCTCTATCAGCTGACGCCAACAGGCAGGAACATAGAATCATAACACCTCTATCAGCTGACACCAACAGGCAGGAACAGGGAGACAGAACACTGAGAGCACAGCAGCCAAGGCTACAGGTGCGTGTGCTCAGTCAGGACAGTTTGAACTGATAAACTGGGTCAAAGTTATGGGCCTTGGAAAATATTTCCCCAACAAAGATGAGGACAGGGGAGGAAGCAAATAGGGAGAGTAAAGGGGAGGAAACAAAAAGATAGACAGACAGCAGAATGAGGAGAGGAGAGGAGGAAAGATAAGAGGATGGATATGTATCCTTGAACTTGCTGTTGTGTCTCCTCAGGGATTGAGCACATTAAAGGCTTCAGAGTTTACCTGGAGGACAAGAACCCCGAGGGGAAGCAGTGTCAGCACCTCCTGCTCAAAGACCCCCGACAGCTCAATTGCTCCTACAAGAACACGGTACCACAAAACATCCTCTGCAACACTGTTTCAAACTGCTTTATTCAACCGTACATGTTGAGCAATATTCTACTTTTAAGCATTAATAGCAATATGATTATTAATACACTACTATATATTGAAATGTTCACATTTTTACTTTTTTAAAATAATTTATCGTGGATTTATTGTTGTATTTATGCAGAGGCTGAGCAGTCAGACGTTCAGCGGGTTGACCTTTGACACTGACTACATGGTTCGCGTTGTTCCTTTCCCAACGCTGATGAACGAAAGCTTCTTCCCTCCATCCTTCCTCAGGACCAACTGTGAGTTCTTATTTCAGGTTTACCTATAAATGAATACACAAACAGGACAAAAATAACAAATTATACAAAGTTCAGGAAAGCAGAAAACGCTCTTGGCATATTTGAAGCCTCCACCTATGTAATGGTAAGATCTATTACAGATAACACAAATTTAAAGGTGGGGTAGGTAATTTTGGAGAAACCAGCTCGAGTGCGCTAGAATTTGAAAATACACAGCCGGAAAAAATCTGCCACTTCCTTACAGAGCCCCTCCTCCAACACACACGAACGCGCACATGACCAATGAGGGCACGAGATAAGTTTGTGCACAGATGGAAGGCTGACAGGCAGGTAGGCCATCCAGTTATTTTAGCCGGTTCGGCTCAGATGATTGGTCGTGCTTTTTACAGTATTACGGCTTCCACAGATGACATTTTTTTATGGATTTTTTCATAAGATATTCATTGCTATCGGGATGTTAAGAGCATTCCATGGAATATAACAAAAAGTGTATCTGGAGCCGGTTTCTCAAACTTACCTACCCCACCTTTAATATACAGATGGAAAACTATTGAATCATACGGAGGAGGATTAAGGCTAAGCTTTATTTTCATAATCACATGAAATATAAATAAAGAAAAAATATATAAAAACACCATAAAAACGGTTGCACAAACGATAAGATGAAAAAATATTTATCTCCAAAAAAGGGCATACAATACAAATTTCACAAATTACTGTGAAAATTAAAATTGGCAATGTATTTGAATTTAAAAGTGGTAGCATTGTGCAGAAATTTGAAAATTAGTCTTCAAGACAGAACATGTGGACGGCTTAAGAGTTGTTGATTTGTTTTACGCCTTATGCTAATGTATGGCAGACCTTCAATTGTAGTTTGTAAAGAAATGTTTGTGTGTCCGCTGACTGCGTCTGTACTTCAGTATGATCAGAGCTTCAGCTTAAACACATCCTGGACTTTTCTCTGCATTGGGAACAGAGATGAAACTGATGAAACATCTGAGGAAGACTGACAAAAATGTTTGCCCAAGTTGTCAAGACTGTTCCTTTTAACATATGTGATAAAGAGATAAGAACAAAACCAGACAACTGTGTAACCATTTCTGCATGTGTGTGTTTATCTTACAGCGTGTGAAGTCCTCCTGGGATCAGACAACCTGGTTTGCAAACCATGTAAGTTCCTCAGTGTAGTCGTCATAACTAAAGCCACATGTACACCGAGAGGAAATAGATAGTTAGTGCAGGGTTTGATCTTTGTTTTGTTTTAAAGACAAGATACAAAACATTTCTCAAAACTAGTTTTATGCCTAAAAGAGCCAACACATTTTTTCTCTGTGCTTGGAGCAATTACAAGGTTTGAATCCAATGAACACCATAAGGGAACTGCTATTTTCAAATCTAAAGTCGTATTCATTTCTGGTGCAGGTGTTTCACATTTTAAGCTTACCAGAAAAGAGAGGGAATATATTCTGCCATCTCTGCCACATCTCTGAAGAAGAAATCACTTAACACACATCAAAACTTACAATTAGTTACTGAATACCATAGAGGTGTTAAGTACTGTTGGAAATGTTCATTATACCGAATTCACCCGGTCAACAGTTTATATGGAGAACGTTGCATAAACAGTTAGGTAAAAGGTAGACATCTTACTAAATTATGATCAAATGACCTATAAACAAACTCAAAATAAATTATTAAATACAGAACCTGGTTATGTAAGCTGAAACTGTGGTATTTGGCACGTTTAATAAATACATTAGGACTGCCAAAAGAGCAAACGGTACATTTCCTATAAAGCTGTAACTAACAATATTTGTATTATCGATTCATCGGCAGAGTCTTTTTTCAATTAATTGTTTAGTCTATGTCAGGGCTTCTCAAACTCCGGACCGAACTACAAATCAATCCGGACCGAACCCTGTGTCCCATTGGTCCCATTATTAAAAAAAAAAAAGAAGCTTTACTGGCATTTATCCGGACCAGTGACCTTGTATAAAATTAACAAGTGGACCTTTAGTAAAAAAGTTTGAGTACCCCATGTCTATATAATGCCAGTTTATAAAAGTCCATGGTGAGATTGTTTTCATTATCTTGTTTTATCATTCTAAAACCAAAAAGAAAAGACTATTAAAATAAAAAACTGAAAAATCAGGAAGTGTCAATTTTTGCATGCATTATAAATGTCAAGTTTAGTCAATTATCATAAAAGTGTTTGAGTCTTCATGGATGTCCACAATAAAGAAGGTTACGTTTGTTTTCTGTCTGAGCAGACTGGAAGCCAAAGACCCTGAACGTGTCTCAGCTGGGGTCAAACCTCCACGTGGCGTTCGACCAGGCGCCGAGCTCCTTCGGCTTCCACTTCTACTTCCTGTACTACAAACTGCGGCAGGAGGGACCCTTCAGACAGCAGCGCTGCAAACCGGTATGTTAGGGCTGCACGATATTGAAAAAAACTGACATTGCGATATAAATTTTTTTCCCCTGCGATATATATTGCGTTTTTTTTTAACTATATTTAACCCGGATGAAGGATTTTAGTCACAGATGTCTGGATCTTAACTGGTTGACTCATCATACCTTAAGACATGATCTAACATGTCATGATAATGCATGTTGCTTACCCTCAAATAAGGGGGTTCATCTGTGAATGAAGAAGAGAAGAACCTTTTTGTATCCAAAATAGTTCCAGATGGCAGATGTTGCTTTTCTTTTTGGAAGTAAATCTTCATTCTCGCCGGTATTGTCCTCCTGTTCCTCGCTCATTTTTTACCGGTGTTTTGATGGTCTGCAAACTAGCGGGTCGGGGCCTGCTGTGATCTGATCAAGAATGATTGTGATTGGTGGTTTGCTGTGCATGCAGAGCCTGCATGTCACTCACTCAAGTACCCCTGACATGAGAGCCGCGCAAGTTTTCCTTTTGTAGCAAGCAGCAAAATAATTGTAACATGACGTGTTTGAGTTAATTTAATTACTTAATATCGCACGTCCCTGCGATGTGAATATCGCGCATACGCATATCGCGGTTATCGCCATGACACGATATATCGTTCAGCCCTACGGTACGTACAGTGTTGTTATCAGAGAGCTTTCTTTTAAGCCACCAGACTCCATCAACAACAGTCATTTTACCTGGCAGAACCCGGGAGGGTGCTGGTCTACTGCTGCCCCCCTCTGGTTAATGTGTTTCGGTGATTTTGTGTTGGTTTGGAACCCCCAAAGTCACATGATACCACAAACAAAATAACCAATCGATGCAGCAGTAGACTGGCACCTTCTATGTTCCTAAGGTACATTTACTGTTTTCGTTAATGGAGTCCGGTGGCTTTGAACAGTTCATCGATAACAGCTTCAGTTCTTCTTTAACAAAGTGGGGCAAATATTCTTAATACAGCATACAATAGAGATGTCTTACCTATGATAAGACTGTGGTTCTGCCTGCAGGAAAACTACGTTTTTATTGAAATGTTTTTATTTTTCTCTAAGGATGTGAACCAGTACAGAACTACATGCATCCTCAAAGACGTAACTCCGGGAACCTACACTGTAGAGGTACATCAAAAGCTTAATTTACACACCGATAACTGGTTAAACTGGATTTTCCTTTTTACGCTTACACGTGGACTAAAATGTAAAACACCAGATTCATCAGACAAACACAAATCTACATTTTTAAAGGTACGTCAATTTGTCCCAACATGTTATGAACCATTTTTTCTCTCTTTTGTTTCCTTCATTCTCTTCCTTTCTTTTTCTTCTTTTACCTTTTCCTCTTTTCTGTGTAAGCTAAGAGACGACAGTAATACCACCAGGAGGCAGACTCAGTACCACGTCAGC